GACCAGCCGTTGCATATAAACGGCCGGATGGTGGCAGTGCAGAGTCAGGTGGTCGTTTATAAACGGCCTCCCCGTACCCTGCTTGTGCGCGCTCCCTTGGAGCGCGCAGCACCCACGATCCGGTGCCTGCTGTGTCCTTCGGACACAGTGAAACACCGATCGTCGGACGGGACCTCTATACGAGGTCCCGATCATGTGATCACTGATTGGCCAATCAGTGATCACATGCAAAGTAGTAAGCAAGATGTCACTTGTGACATCATTGCTTACTACATGTGAAATCTGTGAATGATCACAGAGGTCACATGGTGCAAGGCTATTCACAAAAGCCTTGTACCATGTGACAAGCTGTGACCAATCACAGCTCACTCAGTACTTCTCAATGAGTGCAAGAATGCACACAGAGAGAAAGAGAAATGATTTCTTTTACATCCTATATGGGTGTAAAGCAATCAGTGTAAAAAAAAAAAAAAATCTTCATTACCCCCCACAAGTAGTACAGTGTCACCATGGTGACACTGTACTGCTAGGGTGACAGTATGTGTCAGGGCTCCCAGGTGTGACCAGAGGTGTGTGACTGACGCAGGGAAATGCAGACTTCAGATATGTGATAAACAATATAATTTATTAACACTAACCATACAAACATAAACGCAGTGCAATACTAAAACATAATACAGTGCAAACAAACCAAACCAACCACCCACAGATAACAGTACATACAATGCAAGCGTCGTCAGGCAGGCCGGGTCAATATCAATAGGGCAGGTAGGTACAGGGGGAGCAAGCGGAGATGGGTCGGGGTCACAGGCCAGGTTCAGCAGGTAGCTAGCAGCGTAGTACAGAGGGTCAGGCAGAGGGATGGTCAGGGTCACAAGCCAGGGATCAGAACAGGTAGCAAGCAGCGTGGTACAGAGGGTCAGGCAGAGGGATGGTCAGGGTCACAAGCCAGGCATCAGAACAGGTAGCAAGCAGCGTGGTACAGAGGGTCAGGCAGAGGGATGGTCAGGAGCGAGCCAGGATCAGAGCAGGAGAAGTCAGCAGCGGTTCAGATCAGGCAGGGTCAGCAAAGGAACAGAAACAGGATGTAGGACAGATACAGGGCCCAGGACAAACACAACACCAAGGCAGAGTCTGCAAGTCTGGCCATCCCTTAAATACACCAGTATCATCAATTCCAGGTGTTAGCTGGCTGAAAGGTTGAGTCTCTGATTGCTGGGAGCACCCGCTGGCCAGCCCTGGTACTGCAGATCAAAAGGCAGGTGAGTCCCACCATTGCTGGCCAGTCCATTCCTGACAGTATGTAAAAAAAATAAAAAAAATAAAAATATAAAAAAATAAAATAAAAATGTAAAAAAAAATGTTTAAAAATTATAATTTTTGGTTCTAAACTAATTTGGATTTTTTTTTACTAAAAAGATAATGGAATAAATTTTGGCAAAGATTTATGATGAAATATTATTTATTTGCAAAATTTTATAAAAAAAAACACTTTTTAAAAATTTTTTGGACTTTTTCATTTACATAGCAAAAAAATAAAAATCCCAGCGGTGAATAAATATCACCAAAATAAAGCTTTATCTGTCTCAAAAAAAATGGTAAAAAATTCATTTGGGTACAGTGTTGCATGACAGCGCAATTGTCATTCATAGTGTGACAGCGCGCTGAAAGCTGAAAATTGCCCTGGTCAGGAAGGGGGTAAAAGTGTCCGGTCTGGAAGTGGTTAATAAAGAAGGAATCTGCTGTTACCATTTGTTCAGCAAAATGTTTTGTCACAAGGCCACTTTCACTTGGGCATACTGTTGTGTACACCTGTGTAGAAGCTGTGTTTTACCAGCATGGGAGGCATAGGTGTTCCAGGCAGCCTGTTAAAACCACTGATAGGTGGACGACTGCACAGATCTCATGCACCTGGGGCTGTTCCGGTTTTCATTAGCAGCTGTTCTACAGCTTTCCCTGGATAGCTTCCTGCCTTTTAGACATGGATACAGCCCCTTCCTCCACTCTTCTCATTCCCCATTTCAAGCCCTAGTTCTTTGATACGCCATGCATGCACCCCTTTACTGACTTCAGACTAGGCAAAATAATAAAGTTTTTTTTTTACTTGAAGTAGTTAAATGTGACAAATGAACAGTTCTCAGAAACATCTTCAATACACATTCCTGTACAATGTCCTCTGAGTGTCCTTTTAGTGGGTCCCTGGTGCTCCCTTGTGCCCCATGAGGTGGTCATACCCTAAACATGTGGGAAAGTCCATTAGTCCATTTAGCAGCATATTCCTTTGGCACCCTGGCTAGGCTCCCACAAGAAGTGGTAAAGATAGCAAAGTGGGAATTACATCTTCAGCAGCGCTCCTTCTTTTCCCATTCAGAGAGCAACCTACCCCCCCCCCCCCCCCCCCACACACACACACACAGATGGTGTTTCTCTTTTTATATGCTTTGTCCAGTAGAGGGTAGTACTTCTCAGAAAATCCCGGGAAAACCTAAACAGCAAGGTTAACCCTTACCTGTCAAGGAGCACCACTCCTGTTGGGCCAATTACCTAAATAGTGCAAGTTATCCAGCATGAAATACACCAAGGAACTAATTAACACAGCTAACACAATAATACACTATATTGTCAAAAGTATTGGGACACCCTTCCAAAGCATTGGATTCAATTTAAAGGCAGAAGATCTGCCAAAAATATCAAAAAGAAAAATTTGCATCTCTAGAACAAGCAATACTCCAGGAAGAAATTAATTTGTTCCTGAAGAATACAGCAGTAGGGAAGAGCCCAGGACCCGATGGGTATATGGTGGGGTATTAGAACAAATTTAGAGACCTACTTGTCCCTAAGCTTTGTACATATATGAATGCCTTAGGAGAGGGAATGGGAATAAGAGAAGAATCGTTGCAAGCGTATATAACGATCATTCTAAAAGAAGGAAAGGATAGTTCACAATGCGCTAGCTATAGACCTATATCTCTACTAAATACAGATACAAAACTGTATGCGAAGGTGCTAGCTACGAGGTTAAAAGAGTTGATGATTTTGAAGCATGATAGCCAGGCAATTAGCATTTGTAATAAGAGATGCCAACAACATTTTCACAGATTTAGCTTTAGATATAATTTAGCACTGACAGTATGTTTTAGCTTTATGGTTTTGGAGCAGTTATATATATGATTGCATGAATATGTTTAATTTACCCAAAATGTGAAAGTATTCTTTAATTGTTCCTCCCAAATCCTCCTACCTTTTTTGAAGCTCACCTGATCACAAACTTACTTTCCATCTGCTCCTTCTGAGATCCTCACTGGGACCCTGCCCGCAGCCACATAGTTCTAGCTCCTTCTATGTACGCACACCACTAATCTAATCTTTACTATATCTGGGTCTGTTCTCCACTGGATGGTTGCGTGACCGAGTACTTGAGCCTTTGGAGTAAATGAAATCAGTGGCTGAATGAGTTGGATGCTTCTGGGACTTTTATTTTTGCAGGGCTATGTGGCAGCAGGCAGGACCACATGGTGAAGACATAAGGTTCTTGGCTGAAGGTAAGTATTTAGGTAGGTGGATTTAACTGAATGGGGTTGGGGTATTTAAAGGACAATGTCACTAAAAGTGAAGTTGTTCTTTCAGAACATATAAAGATTTCAGAATTTTCATGAAAGTGTTATTGTCCATTTACTGACAAAATCATGGAACATATTCCGTGTAGTAAATTCTATTTTTGTTGCTGTCTGTATCCCCACTGGGAGATTTTTCCTTACATCTTGTTCCAATGCAGTGGTCACAGGGACAGAAAGTGAAAAGAAAGCCAAATGTTTACAGGAGACTAGGGGAACATTTTCCACAGGGTACACACTGTATATTCTGCTCACTACTATGGTGATATATAGCAATTTTTTTAAACAGGTAGTGAGAGAAGTCTATCCCGTGTGATGTAGACCTAAAATAAAAACCTGATACCAGACCTAACGGTTTAAAAAAAAACCCCAAAAAACTCTGCTTTAAAAGTCTTTCTACCCACATTGGACTTTGTATATGTGTATCGATAGGACTGTAGTATGGCTGTTAGAGTGTAAGCTCCTCTGATACAGTGACTAATAAAAATGGTTTAAGTTCCTCTGTAAAGCATAGTTGAATTTGTTGGCACTGTATAAATTTATAAGTAAATAAAATACATATGGTCCAGTTGTTTCCAACTCTACATGCCATAATGAGGTCACCCTACAGTAAAACACTTGCTCCACCAGGCATTTACCACCGGAATCGTTTAACTCGTAAACTTAATTTTCCTGGAATGTAGATTTCTGGATTAACATAAATACTAGATTTGCCTACTATTACAAATTTAATACAAATTAAATGCACCTGTTAATACACTTTTCTGCAATCTAACATGACTGAAGTTGTAACGGAAATGTAGAACTAGAATGATTAAAGCTGAAGTTTAGATATGACAATTTTTACATACCGTAGTTACATTGGTCCAGCTTAGACCAATGTAACTATGTATGCACGATATCTGTGGGGTCTGAACATCATGTGCTAAGCGTTTATGAGTTCTGGTCCAGAAATCCGTTCCAAAACTTGACCAACCACCTTATTCCCCTGATTATCATATGACTTTTTCAGGGATAGTTAAAAATAAAAAATATGCAAAACAATGACAATGTGCGCTACCAGAAAAGAAAAGAAACCAAATAAAACTGAAATTATGATCAAACTAACAGAGTCATGCACCCACTGATAAGTGATCGCACAACCCCAAGAATATGATGCAATAATAAAGTGTTGTGCTGCTCAATAAAACATCTCAAATACATGCATAAACGGAATATTATTAAAACAATCAAATAATCAATGTGTCCATTAAATAGTTCATATCCATAATGTGTAAGTGATTAACTATTTGGATCACTTACACATTATGGATATGAACTATTTAATGGACACAATGATTATTTGATTGTTTTAATAATATTCAGTTTGTGCATGTATTTGAGATGTTTTATTGAGTAGCACAACACTTTATTATTACATCATATGACTTTATCGCTGTTTCCAAAATTTAAAAATGCCTTAAAGAACACAGATTTGATGCCATTTGGGACATCCATTGTGCTGCAACAAAGATACTGCGCAGAGTTCCAGAAAATGATTTCCAGGCAGGGGCGGACTGACCATTTGGAAACTCGGGCAATGCCCGAGGGCCCGGGGTCAGTAGGGGGCCCCATGAGATGTCCCTGGTAGCTTTTTCATAGGCTTTTTTGAGTTTGGGCAAGGACACAGGGGCCCCATGATCCCCTATTGCCCAGTGGCCCCATGAGCTGTCAGTCCGCCCCTGTTTCCAGGCATGCTTCCGGAAGTTGCAAGGTGGTGCAATGTAACTTTGTAAAAATTGCCATACCTAAACTTCAGCTTTAATAATTGGATTAAAATCATTTAATGTTGACAGAACTCTGTTACAATAAAAAAAAGTTTGAAATGGCACCCCACAAAAAAAACGTTATAATACTTACCAGTCTAGAGGGTGATGACTGGATTTTTGCTCTTTTGCAGGGCTACACCAGCTGAAGAATCTTCAGTATCTGACATTTTACATGGTTCTTGTGTCCCCTGCTACACACTGCAGTTCCACTGTTGTGTTGCACTATTTGATTTATTATTATTTCTCTGTGACCATCACTTGTTTATTATTGCTCTGTGTCTGTAAGCTGTCTCCTCCTGTCTAAACTGAGCTCTTTCTCTCACCGTACTTGTGTATACCTCTCCCCCCTGCCTCTCTCTTTAGTCATTCCACTGTATCCTGTCTACCTGTATGCATCTTTCCATGAGGCTTACAACATTAATGTTTTTCTACCTATGATTAACCTCCATTAAATGGAACATTCAAATGGTTTTCCTCATCTGACTTCCTCATCATGTGAGTTTATTCATTGAGTTACACTTTCTGACCGATGCAAGAGATAGATTAAACACGACAACCGTATAGCTGTATACATCACTGGAGATAAAGTTTTGTGGTCTTGTAGATGCATCAGAACATCCACCTCCTGGGTGCTATGTCACCCCTCTGCTGAAATGCAGTAATTCTGTAGCAGCTGGAGGATGGAACCACAGAGTGATATTGGGGGTGCAACTATTGCTGCACACTCTGAAGCATGCCAGATACTGAGGAATCTTTAGCCACTGTAGCTGTGAAAGATAGCATAGTTCTAAGCCACAGCTTACTGGGCTGGTAACTATTTTACCTTTTCTTTTGTAGGGTGCATTTAAAAAAAAGTTCTGCTGGCTGTTTCACTCTAAACAGATACCCCAGCTGCCAGTACCAAAGGAACATATTGATTTGCTAGGATACCCTTATGTTTTCATAAAATTAATCTTAGGAGTATTGGCTACTGATATTGCTGAAAATTATTTCTTAGGAGTGTAGGTAATATATTCTGCAAGTACAATGTCTACAGTCTTACTATTAATCAGTTGCCGTAAAGCCTATGTTTAACCAAAAATGATTTAAAAATCAGCACAAGGGGCATTATTTAAAGTCAAAGCAATGTGTCCCTTGTGCTGTTGGCTGATGTTTTAGTTAAAATCTTCTTTTTGCCCCCACTACTAGAAAATTATGGTGCAAGTGGTTAATAGAGCTGAAGGACCTTTCATATGCACTCATCAAGGGTGCCAGCCATGCCCACCTTTTTTGCCAACCTACTCCATTCATAGAAGCCATACTATAGCTTTAATGAATGAAAAGCACCCCGTGAATGGAGGAAGGGCAGATGAATTAAAGGCTCTCCCGCTCCAAATCATAGGTCAATTTTCATTTATAGAAGCTATTGTACTGTTTTTATGAATGGAGGAGATGGGTGAAAGGGTGGGCATAGTCATCACTCTTGATGAGTACATAATATATAATGATAATTTAGTGTTCAGTGAAATACCATACAATGGGAAAGATGATGGGATGTTTAAAAAAAATGACTCCTACTTGCTTTATTCTATTCTCTGATTCATTGAATACCAGTTGTCCTGTATATACCACTGCCAATATTAAATGTTAGACATATATAGGCTGTTGTCAGCATATAGGGGTCTGTGGGTCAGTGGGGTTCATACATATCCGGGTCAAGACTTTACAGTAGATCATTTTTAGAATGGGGCACTAAGGTTCGAACTTTTTTTGCTACCTATCTTCATTTTGCTTCTGGTACCTAACTGATTGAGCCTTTCTGTTGCCAATGGATGCCACTGGTCCCTAAATAGTTGTATTTTGTTCATAGACTATACAGACTGGCTCTTGAGCCAAGGGTTTGTGTATTCTCTTCAGGGGTGCCTGCAAAATGTTGTGTGAAATAGCTCTGAGAAGGTGTCAGCAACTTGGGTACTCTTTACTCTCTTCATATAATGTATTGCAGGGTTTTCTCCAAGTTGTCTATCAGCACTGTGTGATCAAGGCTGCAAACTGATCAATGGTATTGCTATGTGTACCTGTTTCCATGGTTACTTTCTTGGAAAAGATGGAAAAAGTTGTTACGGTAAGTTTATGAATTCTATACATCTGTTCCAGCATTTCCTCTGTTTTAGACAAAGTGATAAAATGGAACATTCAGTTGATATCACATGGAGATCAATCCTCTAGTAATGTAGTAACGCATATAGTAATTTGACAACTGTGTGTTTTCTGCAATTTTTTTTTCAATTTTGTAAATTATATTTTAAATTGACCAAAGTTGTTATTGTGGGGATTGCATTTGTTTACAACATGCAATATTCTTATTATATTTTCAGACTTTGCTGTATTTGCATGTAAAAGTCAATTCACATACAGGATATGGATATTTTACACCAAGTTATACTGGTCTAGCTTGTATCAATGCAACTATGTATACAAACATAATGACAGTGATAAAAACATTTGATTCACATACAACGTATTTCACAGGTATGAAATCTTTATTACTTCTCAGAAAATATTTATGACATCTGTACTTTTCTCTGTATTTTAGCTCACTTCAGTGCTACTGTTTTCTGCTTTACAGACCCCTTTATAGAAGTGAACAATTAGGCACTGCTGCGACTTGGGGTCTGATTTGCGAGACCCCCAAGTCTCATGATGTGTGAAATTCCATGTTAGTCAATGAGGGCTGTCTTAATTAGCACTATTGAGGTTACTCCAGCTTTAGAAAAGGTTCCTGTACTACTTCAAGACGATTGCTATCCGACTTTAATGGAAGTTATCCTTATCTATATTGATGTGATTTGGATTACATTACAGGAAGATTATCCAGGCAAAGTCGCATTCCATGAAAGTCATGCATCAAGTTGCACCTAAGTCGTACTTAAGTCACCAGCAGGGGCGGACTGACCATTTGGAAACTCTGGCACTGCCCAAGGGCCCAGGGTCAGTAGGGGGCCCCATGAGATGCCCCTGGTAACTTTTTCATAGACTTTTTTGAGTTTGGGCAAGGATACAGGGGCCCCATGATCCCCCATTGCCCGGGGACCCCATGAGGTGTCAGTCCACCCCTGGTCCCCAGCAAATAGCCAGGAAGTTGCCTGGCAAAGTCGAACCGTAAGTCATGCGACTTTCAGGTTGCAGTAGTATGAACCGAGCCTCAATCCCAATTAGAAACTGGTGACAATTTAAAGAGGAATTCAATCTTGCACTAATGTAACTATGTATTTACTATACCTGGCTGATGCCCCTGGAGGCTGGAAATCACTGATGTACACACCACTACCTCCACTTGCTTCTGGGTCCCGCACTAAACGGCTGGCTTTTGCATTCTGAGTAAAGGAGGTCGGCTAATCTGCACTGCACCATTCAGAGAATGTTTTGCATTTTCTGAATGAATGCAAATCATTCTCTGATAGGACAGGGTAGAAAGCTGGGGCAGTAACATCATGTTCTCCACCTTGTCTAATCAGAGGATGCTTTGTATTCTTTACAAAAATGTAAAGCATTCTCTAAATTGCACCCTTGCTGAGTGGCTGATCTCCTGTATTCAGAATGCAGCAGGCCAGCCATTTAGCACAGGTCCCATGAAGCAAGTGAAGGTCGCTGAAATAGCAATTTGTACGTCAGGGATTTCCAGCTTCCAGGAGTATTGGCTAGGTATGGTATATACACAGTTACTTCAGTCCAAACTGGACCAATGTAATTATGTATAAATTATCCACATGTTAACATCTATGAGGGGTCTGAAAAGCCAGCATCGAGGCTAGGTTCACACTGATGCAGTGCAAACTGATGCAATTTCACAGTGTGATTTGTGTTTTGACAGGTGCAAATTTAATGCGATTTCTGAAGGGACTGAGCATAGCTGGAGATAAAATTTGCACCACACCCACACCAAATTCGTGCAGGACCCTTTTTAAACCAGATCAAATTCACACCACATAGATGTGAATGGCCTTGATAGAAAACAATATATTTTCAGATGACATGCAAATCTTTGCCTTTTGGATCGCATCAGATCCGCAATAGATTCACATCACAGTGAGAATTGAGGGGGAGCTAACATACAGAGAAAAGTACAGATGAAATAAACATTTCTGAGAAGTAATATAGATTTCATACATCTGACAATGTTTTACTGTGAACCGAATGTTTGATAGGAAAATTACCCCTAGATAAAATAAAGAACACAGCTAAAATGACTCATAAACCTTGGTGAATTGAGCCTACGACAAGCTAAGTGCTGAACTCTAGGCAGATATAAAAGACAAATTGATACTGGTTTGTATTTATTTATGCAGAGTGGCTAAATGGTTAGCACTTCCGCCTGGCAGCACTAAGGTTGTTGGTTTGAATTCCAACCACGGCACCACCTGCCTGGAGTTTGCATGTTCTCCCTGTGCCTGTGTGGGTTTCTTCCAGGTACTCCAGTTCCTTCTCACACTACAAAGACATGCTGGTAGGTTAATTGGATCCTGTCTAAATTGGCCCTAGTATGTGTATGTATGAATGTAGATTAGGGACCTTAGATTGTAGGCCTCTTGAGGGTTAGGGACCGATGTGAATGTACAATATATATATATATATGTAAAGTGCTGCGTAAATTGATGGCGCTATATAAGTACCTGAAATAAATAAAATATAAATTCACCATCAAATATATTTTTTTAAATGCAAGCAATTTAAGTACCTGAATTTAGCTCAATACCAGCCCCCTGTATAGCAGAGCTTACACTGGGAGGGGGGGAAGCAGCACAAGCAGCCATCCAGTTCATGTACTGACAAGGAACATGTCAAAAGCAGAAAGGAGAGATAAGCTTTTTGGTGCACTTTTTCTCATTCACTGTCCAATCACAGGCTGGGGGCAGGAAGGTGACCACCCAATGCCAATTCCTTAGGCCCCTTTCAGATGGGGTGAACCCAGCAGTGGATCCGCTTGCTCAGCGGCGATCTCTCCTTTGATTCCCATTAAGCAATCAGATGACAGGTCTGTGTCTGCTCCGCTGATGCAGAGAGGACACAGCCCTCTGTTTTCCATGGGGCGGTTGGATGGAAATGGACCGTCTGACTATCATCCGATTCAATCCCATTCACCAGATGGATGGGGAAGGGATCCCCATCTGTCTGTTTTTTAGCATACAGGATCGGATCAGATTTTGGCGGGTGTCAGCAGACGCATGACCGCTGACTCCTGCCCCTCCATAGAGAGCTATGGATGGTCTGATTGGGTCCACCTGAAAAACTGACAGGGGGACCCAATTGGACCATCAGTGTGAAAGGGGCCTTAAAGTGGAAATGCACTGCTTCTGAGCACCAGAAATGCTGTTTAATTCATTGTTAATATTCAAAGCAACTCACCCATCCATACGCCCTGTTCCAAATGTTAGTTAGTGTTACCAAAAAAAAAATAAAAATCAGGTTGCCTGCCCTGCCATACAGTTCTGTAGTTCTGAAAACTGGATGATCAACAAAACAAATCCTTTGGCAGGTAAAACAGCTGCATTTTAGGAATTTCATCCTTGAATTCAGCTTTAAAAGAATATGGGTACATTATGAGAAAGGATGAGCATATGGAAACACCAGGGAAGAGTAACAACACAGGTCACACGCATATTTGGGGATCCTTCCAAGATTTTCTAATATGCCCACATACATTTTAAAAGGCTGACTAAACATAGTGCTGTGTACTTGACACTTTGTTAAATACACAAGAGATCTGTTTCATTTCATGTGAGAGCTGCTGGAACAGTTGACTAGACTTTCCATTTTTTGGCAAGAGTAATATGAAGCTGAATTCTAATATTTGAATCCTTGAATCCTAATATTTGCAGTAATAAGAGAATGCATTAGTATGAAACAGAGAAATGTTCTCTTTAAATGGCAGCCTAAATGTTAATTAGGTAAAAACACATGGGCCATCTAACATGTGGGGTGGGGAGGACCGATATCTGGGGGCCCCCTTGTTTTTAAATGGGGCTTCCAGCTTCCAAAAGGCTTCCTGCCCTCAGACCTCCACAACCACCAGGCAGGGAAGAGGCCCTTGTCCTCATTACATAGAGAGAAGGTGATCTGCAAGGGGGTTTCCCCCCATGTTGAGGGCATGTGGTCTTACAGACTTGTCACCCCCCCTTCCTAGCCAGCCAATGCTCTGGGGTGCAGATGGAGCTTTCCTAAGATTAACAGAGCAAAACCTATATGAGGCAGCTGGGCATTAAGGCCCTTCTACCGCATATATGCATATTGCTGTCATAAAGGGGTTAAGAATAACTTTGGAGTGCTGTTTTATCTTTTTGCCAGATATTGATGAATGTTCCCGGTCTCAGGGACTAAACCCTTGTCATCAGCAATGTAAGAACAACATTGGAAGTTACAGATGCATGTGTTATTATGGGTATCAGATCTCAGCCAATGGACGTACATGTCTACCTACAAAGCACCCGAATACCATTGCTGGTAAGTTACAAACTTTTTCCAAAGATGTATTCCAAACAAATATAAAATCATTTTGAATTTTCTGAAGTCCTATGGCATATACAGTAGGTGTGTTGGTTCAGTTTTCAGTTTAATAACACTTAGTTTGTCATTAAATTATGTGCTTCCTCCACATTAAAGGGTATGTCCAAAACTTTGTATTTCTTTTTTTAGTGTAGAGAAGGGTGGGGAATGATTAAGCCTCATCAAGTTATTCATTGCTGTCTATGTCCTGCTGCGGAAATTTCTCTTCACTTTCTGTCTCGGTTACAGTGGTCATCAATACAAATATATAGGGGTGAATCTTCCCAGTGTTCAAAACATAGCAGAGGGTCTAACCTTCTCCTATTCAAAACTAAAAAGGACTTTTACATGTACTTTAAAGCCTAAATCCAGCCAAAAAGTGAGCAGCAGAGAGCAGAAGGAACACTTATTTTCCCATGTTCTGTCAAAGCAGTACTCTCAAGACTTTAACATGTTCCGTGTCCAACTCAGTGATCTTAGAAACTATATGGGTTTGGATTTGATTTGAAAAATGTTTAAAGGATATCTGTTCTTTTATTAAAGGTATTCTTTTTAGGACCAGAGACCCTCCTACAGTACCCCTTCCAAATCTGTTCTTAACTGACCCCTCTCCTCTAGCAAGATATTTGTAAGTCACCCACCATATGTCTCATAGCCTCTTGATACATTTCCTACCAGGCTTTGCTTTTCCCACACATGCATGCTGCAATTTATAATAATTCATAAAGGCCATTCACTTTTTTAACCTGCTTCTGGAGACTAAAATATAAAACTCCATAAATGCATGAAGTTAAAGAGAAACTACAAGGGGGAAACTTGTATAATATTTTAAATATTTTGTAGAAGATAAGTATGGGGATTTAAAATAACTAACATTCATACTCACCTAGGTGGATGCAGCACCGCTCTGAGACCAAGAACTGAGCAATCAAAAGCCACTGATCACTCAGTTCTCGGTCTTGAATGAGCAGATGGATGTCAGTCACCGGCTCTCTGCTCTGTCCCTCCAGCTTTCACTGGAGCACCAGGATGTGAAGGGAATGGGTGCGGCTGGTTCAGGCTCTCAGCGGCTCGCTGAGATACTCGGCCAGCTGCTGGTTCAGGCAACTGGGTGGATCCTGACTTTAAAGTCGGGATCTCTCCAGAGCCTGGACCGGCTTAGTGACAGTGGAGTTTAGTCTGCTGTTGGCTGAAAACAGGTCACAGGAGTGCAGAAAGAAGTGCACTCTTGTGATTTATAAGAGAGAAGTAGGGACAAAATAGCTTTGGCCCTACTTCTCCATTAATATATTTGTGAAAATGACCAGTGTTTGTATTTTTTTTAAGTGCATGTACAGTAGGTCAAATTTTTTTTTAGTTTTGGATAATGTAGGAAAGTAAAACCTTTTGTCAGGTTTTTATAATTGTCAATGTCCATGCTAGAGATTCACTATCATTGTCCCCAGTATAGAATGTGATGGGAAATCCAACATTTGTGATTTATAACAATAAGCGGAGATGAGGGGAAATCTTCCAGTGGGTAAATCTGTTATGGTGACAACTGTCTCAGAGGAGCCCATAAGGTGATATCAGGGGCCACATTTCAGGCTTCCTCAATCGAGTAAGTTGACCACCACTGCTCTAGAGTTACACCTTTAACTTGCAGTAGCTTAAACATGTCCTTTACTGATTAATTTTTTGGAAAGTGGGGCGAATAGAGCAGGACTCTTTTACAAGTTCATTTTTAAGGTGTAGAGGTTATTTTTAAAATTAAGTGTAAAAACAAAGAGTTTACAAAAAGAGCAATGAATCACAAATATCTCACCCTACAAAACATATCATAGCAGATTCAGCAGAACCACGAGAAGGTGGATTTTAAGCATTTGTAGATATTATTAATGATTAGTCCTTTCCCCGAAATGTATAATTACAGCTCCTGGTCCTTGTGGAGAATATGGTTGTGAGTTAAGCTGTAATGATGGAGGCTGCGAACATGTCTCCCGCGTGTGTCCTCTTGGTTTTCACATGACCGAAACAGCAAACGGAGTCACCTGCACAGGTATTCTGGTACCCTCGCTTCTACTATCAGACTATAGTTATATGTTATCTTTGTGAACAGCCTTTTTATCATACCTGCCTTGTACCAGACATCAATGAATGCGCTACTTCTACTTGTGAAGGAACTTGTTTGAATACTGACGGAGGCTTTGTATGTGACTGTGGGCCTGGCCTGAAGCTTGCTGCTGATAGGACCAGTTGTTTGGGTGAGTCATAATCCTACGATATTGCAGTTTTTGGAGGTTTATGCTGAGAGTGCTGGCATACAAACCCCACTAATTCATTTTCAAGGGTTTAAGGTATCTGAAATTATTAATAGAAAACTCAAGCTGACAGTTCTAACATTAATTTAAATTATACAATGGAATGGGAAATGGAATGAGTAATGGATTCTAAGAAGGTTCTAATGTGCTATTCACTTGTTCAGTGAAGAGCTTTTTTGTCCTGGATGTCCTGGATGTCATGAGTCTTAAAAGAATAGTTTGCCTGGATCCACCCACCATATGTAATTAAAGAGTAATCCCCTTATTTTTCCAGTCCTTGGTGGGATGAGTCATGTGAACAACTTTTGTTCTTAGAAGTTTCTATGGTGCTTTACACTGGTTCTATGAAGGTCTTTTTGGTCCCTTTGTTCCTCCTCATTATAATCCTCTAGATTATATTTTTGTTTTGATATTTCCTGACATGTTCCAAACATTAACGTCAGCTTGGTTATGGGACTTGGATTGAACCACTGTAAATTCGCAAATACTGTGTATCTGGAACCAAAACTTTCATGCATAGTCATTTTAGATTTCTACTGACTTTTGCTTTATAGCTCATATATGCCTTTTTCTCTGGCATAATTATATACTTATATTAAAATTATTACTATCCATTGTTTTCTAACCTTCAGATATTGATGAATGTTTGACACAACGATCAGTTTGTCAACACAGATGTAAGAATATTCATGGCAGCTATAGATGCTTGTGTGGAACAGGGTTCGCCCTACAGAACAATGGACAGACATGTGCAGGTAAGCAGCAGTTATTAATCGTTTGTATTCTCTACCCAAATTGATTTCTGTTTTGAATCATTTTATAAATTATCTTTCCCGTTGTTTGTATTTTGTTCACTTTTGAAAAGATCTGCAAGGCTAAACTCAGAGCACGAAAACTGTTTTAGACGTTTAACTGTTCAATGTCATTGCTTATTGCACAGATATCAATGAGTGCCGAAGGCCAGGGTCATCTCATCTTTGCCAGCACTTTTGCCACAATACCTATGGAAGCTTTTTCTGTTCGTGCCGAGCTGGGTTTGTTCTTAGCATAGACAGAATGTCTTGTGTTGGTGAGTATATACTTGTATAATATACCTGTATAAGGTATTTAGTCTCTACTTGTTCCAACCAATCTTCTCTTGAGACTTAGCGCTTTCACAAAATTCTTCCCTTGTTATAGATGGATTGTCCACAGATCAGTTTGGTATCTTTTTCTGTGCACTATATTGTTGACCTGATTATTTGATGCCAAGGAAAGTCTCACAGCACTTTAGGTAGTTATTGCTGTATCTTGTTTTAACAGGTCTTCTGAGACCTTACACTTTCACTAAGTTCCTCTAAAGAGCTGTGTCCATCACATCTAATCATTTCACCCTTGCTTTTGTTGGACTTGCCACAGGCCACTGTGGTATCTTTTACACTATGTACACTGTATTCATAACCTGGTTATTTGATGCCTAGGAAAGTCTCACAGCATTCTAAGATTTAGGTATTTATTGCTGTATTTGTTGCAATTCATGATCTTCGAAGACCTTGTGCTTCACTAAACTCTTTCAAATAGTTGGGTCCAACACATCCAATAATTTCCCACTTAATTTTGATGGTCTGTCTACATGTCACTGTGGTATCTTTTACATTGTATTGTTGACCTGGTTGTTTGATACCAAGAAACGTCTCACAGCATTCTAGGCGTGATGTAGTTTGCTGTATTTGTTCCCACTTTCTTCTGAGAAAGACCTTACATTTTCACCGGGCTTTACCAAGGACTGCATCAAACACATATGATTATTTCCCCCTTGTTTTTGATGGACTGTCTATAGGTCACTGTTGTATCTTTTACACTATGTGCACTGTATTGTTGTTCTTATGTCTAATGCCAAGGAAAGTGTCACAGCAGTCTAGGAAGTATTCGCCGTATATACTATATTATTTATTTATTTGCTTCTCTTTATTGATGTTTTTTTTGAATATTACTAAATGAAGGAACTAAGAAGCTAAAACTTTTTTTTGGATACAGTATAAACAAATTATAGTATGAAATAGTTAACACTGTTTTTCATTGGAGAAGTTTTCCTTCAATTTCTGTTGCAGGAGGTCTCTCCAAATAAGGGAAATACACACTGGAAGATTTTCCCCTTATTCCTGAAAACTCAACATTTTAGATTTTCTCTTGCTTTCATTTCTGGTGACAATGGTCACCAAGCCATGTATGGAGGATGAACATCCCCATCAGAGACACAGACAGCAATAAAAACTTGACAGAGGAACCTAAAATATGCACACAAGCCCAAAGGTGTTTTTAACCCTTGGACAGTAAAGACTGTCACCCCCCAATAATTGTGCCATATGTGCTTTTATTTGTATTCTAGATATGAATGAGTGCCTAGAAAACACCACCCTGTGCTTATCTGGCAGCTGCATGAATACACTGGGGTCATATGTCTGCTCCTGCCCTGATGGATTTCAGTCAATCAATGGTGGATGCTCAGGTAAAACATTTTAAAGCATTTGAAGTTCTGGTACCCACAAACATGAAGATCTTTCTGTGAGATCAATGGAAAATCAATTTGTTCTCATCCCTTGATAAGCTAGTCCCCTCCCATGCATTTTTTTCTTAATTTGGGCATTGGCATAAAATGTGAAGAGATCATTCTCCTTTCAGGTGGAAAGTAGGAAACAGTCAGCCATCAAACATTTCTGCAATTATTAAGAAACTTGTTTCTTTGCTTAAAGAGGAACTTCACTCCTTGCTTCAATTGTTTTCCATTCCCTCTTACCGTTTATGCTAGGTTGTGCCTAAGAAACATACTTGTTCTGTATGTCCCACACCATGATCCTCCTCTGCTGCATCATTGGGAGCTGGTTGTCTCTTCTGGGTTCTTGCAGCTGGCCCCCAATGGAACTCTGCAGGAACCTCCTTCTCCAGCATTGTGTTTGTGCCTCTGATGCCTTCTGGAATATCTGATGTGGATATCCCAGGAGATTGCGGAAGTAGAGTGACTTCATTCCTGCCTATGCGAGAATGAAGGCATGGAGGAAGGCCAGTCTGTAGGACCAAAAAAACTAAACCAAAAAAAAGTTGTATGTATTAAGTTTAGGAGGGAGGAGGATTAAAATAATGAAAAGGAGTATTTGAGAATGAAGGTCTGCTTTAATTAAGCAAGCTGGGAATTACCCACCACACTAGATAGGACCTTATTCCAGACTTGCATAGGTGAGTTGAATAATAACATTACTTGTTTTTTTATGCCTTTTACAGTGATTCCTATTGAGACACAGACTGCAAGCTTATTACAGGCAGTGCACAGTGACTGGATGCCACTCAGGCCAACACCACCAATGGCTACAAGCACTGAAACACCAACTACAGGTGCTTCCCAGACAGAACTGGTTAGTACCAAGTTACCACAAGAAATGTTTACCACAAAGTCTACCTCAACGCAACCAACCACAACAACTAAACTTGATCCAGTGCCTCCACCACAACATCTCAAAACAGGTCATTCTTCATTTTCTCAAAAATCTTCAGGAATATCTCACATGCCTCTGAAAGAGAACATAATAATTCCCACTGGACAACCTACTGTCTTGGGCACACATGTGCCTTGTTGGCATAACAGGGAACTGCGGCTGACAGGCAGCACCTGGACAGAGCCAGGATGTTTAGATTGCATTTGCAAGGTAAATGTCATTGTTCAAAAGTACTGAATTTTATTACAGGAACTGTTGCAACACTGTTTTAACTATGGTGCCACCATTACCTATATGGGTGACTGTTCATATAACATACATCAGTAGAGACAAACCCCTCTCTGAGGAGCCTAGTGTTTATTCTGTACCAATAGGGGATTATTTTGGACATGGCATGGGCTTGTGTCCGGGGAAACTGGACTAAAGAAACTGGACTAAAGGTCAACAGTTAGAGCAGACTGGATAGAGTTTCTGGGTTCTGGTGAGGCCAGGCTAGGTCTCCCACAAGCTGTTACAGGAGCGGTGTGGTATGTAGGTTTTTGCCCAGTAACCAGAGGAAATCTGGTAAAAGAAACACAGACGCCACTTTGTCAATCATTCCATAGTGGATATATACATTATGCCAAGTGAAAAAGAGTTATAGGTTTTATTTGAGCGACATAGCAGACTGGATGTCGCTCCACTTCCTTAAACTGAACCTCTCCAAAACCGAGTTTCTTGTCTTCCCCCCAGCCCGGACACCACCCCCCATTGACTTCTCCATCACATCCAACAACGCCACCATCAAACCCGCCCCGCAGGCCAGAGTACTTGGTGTCATTCTGGACTCCAACCTATCCTTCCAGCCCCAAGTCCAATCTTTAACAAACTCGTGCAGACTCCACCTCCGCAACATCGCCAAAATACGCACGTTCCTAACCCCAGAAACCACTAAACAGCTCATCCACTCCCTCATCATATCATGACTCAACTACTGTAACTCTCTCCTCACTGGCCTGCTGGCTATCCCCGCTTCAGTCGATACTGAATACGGCTGCCAGACTCATTCACCTTTCCAACTGCTCCGTTTCCGCCACCCCCCCTCTGCCAATCCCTCCACTGGCTTCCGATTGTGCAACGGATCAAATTCAAAATCCTAACACTGACGTACAAAGCTGTCCACCATACTGCCCCGAACTACATCACTGACCTAATATTCAAGTACCACCCAACACGCACACTCTGCTCCTCACAAGAGTTCCCTGGTCTCCTCCTCCCATGCCCGCCTCCAGGACTTCTCCAGGGTGTCACCCATCCTCTGGAACGCCCTGCCCCAACCCATCAGATTATCACCTACTCTCCTCTCCTTAGGAGCACCCTGAAAACCCATCTCTTCAGGGAAGCCTACCCCACCCCCTGCTAACCTGCCGACCTCCTCCACTCTTCCTACCACTCCATCCCCCACAGCTATCTCCTCCTTTACCACCATCCCCTCCCTCCTAGATTGTAAGCTCGAAAGAGCAGCAGCAGGGCCCTCGATCCCCTCATGTTTTGCATTGTATTGGTATTGTTCTGTCACATGTTCTGTCCCCCTTTGTAATGTACAGCGCTGAGTGAACTATTGGCGCTTTATAAATACTGTATAAATAATAATAATAATTTAGCAAAAATGACAGTAATACCTCACTTAGAGCTACCTTGACATAGATTTATTGTGTACATTTTTAGGAAGGGAAGGTTTCATGCAACAGAAGGGTATGTAATCCAGACTGCTCACATCCCGTCTTATCCCCCGATAGCTGCTGCCCATCTTGTGATGGTGAGTATGTCACAGGAACCCCAAATAATATTTAAACTTTCCTCTACTGTCACACATTGATTGCTTCTGGTTTCTGGCAGGGTGCTTGTTTGAGGGAAAATTGAGAGCAGATGGAGAGCTCTTCCCAATTACTCCAGATAATTGTACTGTTTGTATCTGTCTGGTAAGAATCATGAATTTTAAACTCAGTTTATGTAATTTAATTTGGTCTAATGCAATTATTCTACAAATATACCCATATGTGTACAAATACATTACTGGCATTGCATGTAAGTCATAAAACTAAAGATGGCCATACATATGAGAAGGCTTTTACCTAATTTAATATAGTTTGCTTTATTTGTATTTTTTTTTAACTAGAATATATATTTTTGTTAGCATATATTTAGATTATTGGCCATTCACGATAGTTATGGATTTCATATAACGTAGCATTCCCATCTCTGATTAAAGAGGACCTGTAGATTCTCCCCAAAAACTATATTTACACTAAAGCCTTTTATATATTGGTAAAGGTGACCAAATATGACTTTTTTTTTGATCAGTTAGTGGATTGATCGAAAAAAAACAAAAAGCAAGGTGGATATAGGAATTAGAGATGAGCGAATCGAACTTGGCGAAGTGGAATTCGTTTCGAAGATTAGGAAAAATCGAATCCGCCGAATCCGAAAATTAGCAGACTTCGGATGCGCGAATCGAAATTTTCCAAAAATGGCGGTGACATGTGTGGCGACGGAGCGGGGATCTCTGGGAAGGCGCGCAGACAAGGCGCGCTGACCCATAATGCATTCATTCATGACATGTGATCGCATTAGCCAATCAGCAGCCAGCCAGCCAGCACTGTGTAATGGTCGAGCTATAAATTGCGGCCATCTTAGAATTCTCCATTAGCCTCCGGTCATTCAAGAGAGACAGACCTCTCTGTATTAGGGACAGAGTTTAGGGCAAGAGAGACTTTAGGGCCACAGAATCGTTACTTAGGGACACAGAATCGTTACTTAGGGACACAGAATCGTTACTCAGGGACACAGAATTGTTAATCAGGGACACAGAATTGTTACTCAGGGACAGACACAGAATTGTTACTGAGGGACACAGAATTGTTACTGAGGGACACAGAATTGTTACTGAGGGACACAGAATTGTTACTGAGGGACACAGAATTGTTACTCAGGGAAACAGAACTGTTACTCAGGGACACAGAATTGTTACTCAGGGACACAGAACTTGTTACTCAGGGACACAGAATTGTTACTCAGGGACAGACACAGAATTGTTACTGAGGGACACAGAATTGTTACTGAGGGACACAGAATTGTTACTACTGAGGGACACAGAATTGTTACTGAGGGACACAGAATTGTTACTCAGGGACACAGAATTGTTACTCAGGGACACAGAACTGTTACTCAGGGACACAGAATTGTTACTCAGGGACACAGAATTGTTACTTGTTACTCAGGGACACAGAATTGTTACTCAGGGACACAGAATTGTTACTGAGGGACACAGAATTGTTACTGAGGGACACAGAATTGTTACTCAGGGACACAGACACAGAATTGTTACTGAGGGACACACAGAATTGTTACTGAGGGACACAGAATTGAATTGTTACTGAGGGACACAGAATTGTTACTGAGGGGACACAGAATTGTTACTCAGGGACACAGAATTGTTACTCAGGGACACAGAATTTTTACTCAGGGACACACAGAACTGTTACTCAGGGACACAGAATTGTTACTCAGGGGACAGACACAGAATTGTTACTGAGGGACACAGAATTGACTGACACAGAATTGTTACTGAGGGACACAGAATTGTTACTGAGGGACACAGAATTGTTACTCAGGGGACGGACACAGAATTGTTACTGAGGGACACAGAATTGTTACTCAGGGACACAGAATTGTTACTCAGGGACACAGAATTGTTACTCAGGGACACAGAACTGTTACTCAGGGACACAGAATTGTTACTCAGGGACACAGAATTGTTACTCAGGGACACAGAATTGTTACTCAGGGACAGGCACAGAATTGTTACTGAGGGACACAGAATTGTTACTGAGGGACACACACAGTTATTGTTACTGAGGGACACAGAATTGTTACTCAGGGACACACAAATTGTTACTCAGGGACACAGAATTGTTACTCAGGGAGGGACACAGAACTGTTACTCAGGACACAGAATTGTTACTCAGGGACAGACACAGAATTGTTACTGAGGGACACAGAATTGTTACTGAGGGACACAGAATTGTTACTCAGGGACACAGAATTGTTACTCAGGGACACAGAATTGTTACTCAGGGACACAGAATTGTTACTCAGGGACACAGAAACTTGTTACTCAGGGACACAGAATTGTTACTCAGGGACACAGAATTGTTACTGAGGGACACAGAATTGTTACTGAGGGACACAGAATTGTTACTCAGGGACTGAGGGACACAGAATTGTTACTCAGGGACACAGAATTGTTACTGAGGGACACAGAATTGTTACTGAGGGACACAGAATTGTTACTGAGGGACACAGAATTGTTACTCAGAGGGACACAGAATTGTTACTCAGGGACACAGAATTGTTACTCAGGGACACAGAACTGTTACTCAGGGACACAGAATTGTTACTCAGGGGACACAGAACTGTTACTCAGGGACACAATTGTTACTCAGGGACAGACACAGAATTGTTACTCAGGGACACAGAATTTGTTACTCAGGGACACACAGAATTGTTACTCAGGGACACAGAACTGTTACTCAGGGACACAGAATTGTTACTCAGGGACACAGAATTGTTACTCAGGGACAGACACAGAATTGTTACTGAGGGGACACAGAATTGTTACTGAGGGACACAGAATTGTTACTGAGGGACACAGAATTGTTACTCAGGGACACAGAATTGTTACTCAGGGACAGCACACAGAATTGTTACTCAGGGACACAGAATTGTTACTCAGGTCACAGAATTGTTACTGAGGGACACAGAATTGTTACTCAGGGACACAGAATTGTTACTCAGGGACACAGAATTGTTACTCAGGGACACAGAACTGTTACTCAGGGACACAGAATTGTTACTCAGGGACAGACACAGAATTGTTACTCAGGGACACAGAATTGTTACTCAGGGACACAGAATTGTTACTCAGGGACACAGAATTGTTTACTCAGGGACAGACAGACAGAATTGTTACTGAGGGACACAGAATTGTTACTGAGGGACACAGAATTGTTACTCAGGGACAGACACAGAATTGTTACTGAGGGACACAAAATTGTTACTGAGGGACACAGAATTGTTACTGAGGGACACAGACAGAATGTTTACTCAGGGACACAGAATTGTTACTCAGGGACACACAGAATTGTTACTGAGGGACACAGAATTGTTACTCAGGGACACACAGAATTGTTACTCAGGGACACAGAATCGGTGTTACTCAGGGACACAGAATCGTTACTCAGGGACAGAGAATTGTTACTCAGGGACACAGAATTGTTACTCAGGGACACAGAATCGTTACTCAGGGACACAGAATCGTTGAATTAAAGAGTATGTCAGACAACACGCAGAGGAGTGGCAGAGGAGGCAATGTTTCCGGAGCGAGCAGACGTGGCAGCAGAGGAAGGGGTCGAGGCACCAGCAGCACTAGTCGCAGCCAGAGGCCAGTGCTCCCGGTGTCATCCAGCGGTCGTGTCTCCACCGACAACCCTGCCGTCATCGATTGGTTGGCTCGGTCGTCTTCCTCTTCCCAGGTCACCTCTGACACCTACAGCCAACGGTCGGTGGGTACGTCAGACACAACCGTTAGTGTGCATGGCCCGGGAGCAAGCCCACTGAAATCACGTGTCCTCTACCTGCCCCTGTCCTTTGGTGTTCCCTCACCAAGCGAAGTATCGCATGCTGTGGGCTCAGCCCCACTGTACAGTGAGGAAGAGCTAACAGAGGGCGGTCAGGAACGGGGGGGAGACATCCGCCTCTTCAGCAGCCAGGCGAAGAAGTACTGGCGAGGAGAGTGGCTCGGTAGCCGGTCTAGAGACAGGTCTGTCTCCTGACCCACACACGCAGCCGAGGGGGCTAGTAGTGAGGCGGAGACCCTAATTGATGATGATGAGAGCTGATCGCACTTGGCAGCCTCGTCGTCATCATCAGGCTATTGCTTCCGCATCATCAGGAGAAGAGGGTGCCAGCTTGGCAAGCGAGCAAAACAGTCGGTGGGTTGCCCCAGGAGGCAGCAGGGTCGCAGCAGTGTCAGTGGAGGCAAACTGGCCACGGAGTAGAGCACCAGCTCCACTGCAGTCCTACCTACACCACGGCCAGTAGTGGTGCCGTGGTGTGCACGGAGGAAGTAGCAGTCAGCCAGTGAGGAGTAGCTGGGGCAAAGTTTCCTACCTACTCGGCGGTGTGGCAATTTTTCGTCAAGCCGCCCGAGGAAGAAACGTAGCCGTATGTCGACTATGTGGCCAGTAAAGAAAGTCAAGCGTGGCCAGGGGGCCCATGTTGGTTAACATCAGCCACACTGTCTGCAGCAGTGTTGCCAACTTTCAGGTCTTCTCACACTGCTGGTGGGTTCCATTTTGTCATAGGGTGCTGGCAGTCCCGTACGGCCTGGCTGCCACTCCATCGGGCCTCCCCATTGCTGCTGCCAGGCCCGCTCCTGTCCATGGGCCCCGTACCGCCTCCTCATGCTGCTGCCAGGTCCAGTCAAGGCTCCAACACCTCTGCTGAGGGGGATGGGTCCCTGTACGGCCTCCCCATTGCTGCTGTCTCCATCGATGCCCACACTCTGCCATGTGCCACTCTTCAGGTCTCCTCAGCACACTGCTGGTGGGTTCCATTTTTTTTCATAGGGTGTGCTGGCAGATTACGGCCACTCCCATTGCTGCTGCCAGGCCCTGTAATCTGCCATGGGCCCCCCAGTACCGCTCCCTCCTCATGCTGCTGACCAGGTCCCAGAGTGTGTCATGGGTCCCTGTACCGGCCTCCCATTGCTGCTGTCTCCATCGCCACACTCTGCCATGTGCCACTTTCAGGTCTCCTCACACTGCTGGTGGGTTCCATTTTGTCATAGGGTGCTGGCAGATTACGGGCCTCCCATTGCTGCTGCCCAGGCCCGTAATCTGCCATGGGCCCCTTGTACCGCCTCCTTCTGCTGCTAGGCCAGGTCCAGAGGTGTGTCTCATGGGTCCCTGTTACGGCCTCCCATTGAACTGCTGTCTCCATCGCCACACTCTGCCATGTGCCACTTTCAGGTCTCCTCACACTGCTGGTGGGTTCCATTTTGTCATAGGGTGCTGGCAGATTACGGGCCTCCCATTGCTGCTGCCAGACCCGTAATCTGCCATGGGCCCCACTGTACCGATCTCCCATGCTGCTGCCAGGTCCCAGTAATCTGTCATGGGTCCCTGTGTACGGCCTCCGCCCATTGCCAAGTCCCCATCGCCACCGGCATCTGGGCCACATGCCAACGGTTGCCAAGCTGTCTCCTCACACTGGTGGTGGGTTCCATTTTAGTCACACAGGGTGGAACTGGCAGAGTTAATGGGCCTCCCAGATGCTGCTGCCAGGCCCAAATCTGTCAACCATGGACCGACAATGCTGTACCCCACCAGGTGCCTCATGCTGCTGCCAGGTCCAAGAAGTGTGTCATGGGTCCCTGTACGGCCTCCCATTGCTGCTGTCTCCATCGCCACATCTCTGCCATGTGCCACTTTCAGGTCTCCTCACACTGCTGGTGGGTTCATTTTGTCATAGGGTGCTGGCAAAGCACGGGCCCTCCCATTGAGCTGCTGCCAGGCCCCGTAATCTGCCATGGGCCCCCGTAGCACTCGACTCCTGATCTGCGACGTTGCAACAAGGTGGAATTCAACCCTACATATGTTAACCGCCTTTACAAACAGCGAAAGGCCATCACCGATTTCCTGATGTTACAAGCGGATAAAGGTACTCCCCTGTGTAACTTAGATGTCAGCCATTGGCAGCTCATGCGTGACACCTGCCGCTTGCTCAGGCCCTTTGAGGAGGCCACGCTATTCGTGAGTCGGCAGGACTATGGGATGAACGACGTCATTCCTCTGTTGCACGTCCTGGAACAAATGCTGTTAACAATGGCTGGTCAGGGTGCGGTAGACGTGGCGCACAGATCTCAAACGCCACATGTACCCCTGTGGGGGCAGGACAGGAAGAGAGGAGGAGGAGGTATAGAGAGGAGGACATTGGTGCTCAGGAATTATTGAGTGAAATGGGTGGTTTTTTCCACTCAGCGGACAGGAGTGGAGGAGCAGGAGCATCTGGTAGAGGAGGAGGAGAGGAGACAGAGGACCCAGACGCACCGTGGCAGTATGCTGTGGAGATGGAGGCAGGGAGTCCCCGACCTCGCATTCCTTGGCACAAATGGCCCCATAGCATGCTCGGTTGCTTGCGTAGCGACAGCCGAATAATAACCATCAGACAGAGGGATGACTTTTGGCTGTCCACCTTGTTGGACCCTCGCTACCGTTCAAAAATGGTGGCCTTTTTCACACCTGCTGAGAGGGAGGCCAAAATAAGTACTATAAAAACCACCTATGTAGTCAGTTGGTCTCTGCCCTTTCTGCGCCAACGTCCATCCTCAGACACTGTGGGCCCCTGTGCGCTCGCGTTCCGCTGCCATGGCAGCAGGGGAGGGTGGGGTGGTAGGAGCAGTGGCAGCTCCACCAGCAGCGGCTGCCTCAGTCCTGCAGTCGATGATGAGTAGCTTTCTTCACCAGCGCAGTGAGGAAACTACTAACCAGCCGCAGCAAGCAGCAGCATCAGGTGGACCTGGAGCAGGACCTCAAACAACAGGCTTGGGCCTACTTGGACAGCACCCTGCCAACCGAGGTAGACAATCCCCTTGACTACTGGGCAACGAAACTTGACCTTTGGCCCCAACTAGCTGAATTTGCCCTTGAAAGGCTGTCATGCCCGGCCAACCAGTAGCGTGGCATCCGGAGCGCGTGTTTAGTGCGGCAGGAGGTATTGTAACTCCGCGGAGGACACGACTGTCCACCCAAAGTGTGGAGAGACTCACGTTTGTGAAAATGAATCAGGCGTGGATTAGTCTGGATTTCAAACCACCAGTTCCTGACACAACTGACTAAATCCGCCATGAATCATGCCCCAAACATGTTATTATTTTTTAACATAGGCCTCTGTATATGGCCTTCAATTTAAGCTGCTTACGCTTCGCCACTCTGCCATGGGCCCCTGTACCCCGCCTCCTCTTGCTGCTGCCAGGTCCAGAGTGTGGTCATGGGTCCCTCTGTACGGCTCCCATTGCTAGCTAGTCTCCATCGCCACACACTCTGCCATGTGCCACTTTCAGGTCTCCTCACACTGCTGGTGGGTTCCATTTTGTCATAGGGTGCTGTTATGGCCTCCCATTGGCAGGCCCGTAATCGGGCCCCCCGTACCGATTGCATGCATGCTGCCAGGGCCCGTAATCTGTCATGGGCCCCCCAGTATACCGCCTCCTCATGCTGCTGCCAAAAATGGTCCCGAGTGTTCATGGGTCCTCTAACGGCCGTCCCATTACTGCTGCTTGTCTCCATCGCCACACTGCTGCCATGGTGGCCTACTTTCAGGTCTCCTCACAACTGCTGTGTGGGTTCCATTTAGTGTCATAGGGTGAGCTGGCAGATTACGGGCCTCCCAATTGCTGCTACGCCAGGCCCGTAATCTGCCATGGGGCCCCCCGTACCCGACTCCTCATGCTGCTCGCCAGGTCCAGAGTTCTCATGGGCTCCCTGTACGCGGCCTCCCATTGAGCTGCTGTCTCCATCGCCACACTCTGCATGTGCCACTTTCAGGTCTCCTCACACTGCTGGTGGGTTCCATTTTGTCATAGGGTGCTGGCAGATTACGGGCCTCCCATTGCTGCAGCCTGTATCTACCTCCAGGCCCGTAATCTTCAGCATGGCCCCCAGGTCGTAATAACAACAGCCAGTCCTCCTACATCCCAATGCTGCTGCCAGGTCCAGAGTGTCTCTGTCCCTGTACGGCCTCCCATTGCTGCTGTCTCCATCGCCACACTCTGCCAGATGTGCCACTTTCAGGATCTCCTCACACTGCTGGGGGTTCCATTTTGTCATAGGGTGCTGGCAGATTTACGGGCCTCCCATTGCTGCTGCCAGGCCCGTAATTTGCCATGGGCCCCACTGTACCCCGTACCCTCCTCATGCCACTGCTGCCAGGTCCAGAGTGTCACATAATGGGTCCCTGTACGGCTCTCCCCATTGCTGCTGTCTCCATCGCCACACTCTGCCATGTGCCACTTTCAGGTCTCCTCACACTGCTGGTGGGTTTCCATTTTGTCATAGGGTTGCTGGCAGATTTATGGGCCTCCCATTGCTGCTGCCAGCCCGTAATCTGCCATGGGCGTAATACTCCTTCGTACCGCCCATCCTCATACCGCCTCCTCATGCTGCTGCCATTAGGTCCAGATGAGTGTCTCATGGGTCCCCGTAATAACGGCCTCCCATTGCTGCTGTCTCCATCGCCACACTCTGCCATGTGCCACTTTCAGGTCTCCTCACTACTGCTGGTGGGTTCCATTTTTGTCATAGGGCTGCTGGCAGATTATATCGGGCCTCGCCAATTGCTGCTTGCTGCAGGCCGTAATCTGCCATGGGCCCCCGTACCCAGACTCTCATGCTGCCATGCCTAGGCCCGTAATCTGTCATGGGCCCCTGTACCGCCTCCTCATGCTGCTGCCAGGTCCAGAGTCTCTCATGGGTCCCTGTACGGCCTCCCATTGCTGCTGTCTCCATCGTCGCCACACTCTGCCATGTGCCACTTTCAGGTCTCCTCACACTGCTGGTGGGTTCCATTTTGTCATAGGGTGCTGGCAGCCTCCCATTACGGGCCTCCCCCATGCTGCAACCCGATTGCTCATGCTGCCAGGCCCGTAAATCTGCCCATGGGCCCCCGTACCGACTCCTCAAGCTAATGCCTGTCAGCCCTCCTCATGGATGCTGCTGCCAGGTCCAAGTGAGTCTCATGGTCCCTGTACGGCCTTCCCATTGCTGCTGTCTCCATCGCCACACACTCTGCCATGTGCCACTTTCAGGTCTCCTCACACTGCTGGTGGGTTCCATTTTGTCATAGGGTGCTGGCAGATTACGGGCCTCCCATTGCTGCTGCCAGGCAGCCTCTGTAATCTGCCATGGGCCCCCCGTACAGGTTCACTCATTGGTCTCATGGCCGTCCTATAGCTGCGAGCCAACCATGGCCCGTAATCTGTCATGGGCCCAACTAATATGTAAAAAGTCGCCTCCTCATGCTGCTGCCAGGTCCAGAGTGTCTCATGGGTCCCTGTACGGCCTCCCATTGCTGCTGTCTCCATCGCCACACTCTGCCATGTGCCACTTTCAGGTCTCCTCACACTGCTGGTGGTTCCATTTTGTCATAGGGTGCTAGCAGATTACGGGCCTCCCATTTGCTGCTGCCAGGCCCGTAATCTGCCATGGGCCCCGATAGAAGTACCGACTCCTCATGCTGCTGCCAGGCCCGTAATCTGTCATGGGCCCCTGTACACGCCTCCTCATGCTGCTGCCAGTAGGTCCAGAGTGTGTCATGGGTCCCTGTACGGCCCTCCCATTGCTGCTGTCTCCATCGCCACACTCTGCCATGTGCCACTTTCAGGTCTCCTCACACTGCTGGTGGGTTTCCATTTTGTCATAGGGTGCTGTATGGTCCTCCCATTGCTGCTGCCTGCCACCCCACCGCACACACTGTGGCTCCACACTCTGGTTTTGGCCCCCGTGACTGCCCAAATGAGTGAAGTGTGCGGTGATTCTAAGATCGACGGCACTCATCTGCATGTCATACTGACTGACAGTATTATTTCTCTTCCCAGCAGACTCCAAGGGCATTTAAATTAAAGGTACAGTGTTCTGCACTAATATAAAGGCTCTCTGAAGCCTAGAAACACCCAAAGTTAATTCGCAGCGAATATATTCGACTCAAATCAAATTTATTCCGCGAATTCGCCGAATCGAATTTTTTGAATACTTCGCTTCATCTCTATAATAGGAATCCTCCCCTCTGAGACATTTATGTTCTGAGTGTGCAACTCCTCCGCTGTCAAATACACTTATCCTAGCTGCTGCAGCTGTCGTGATCATGGAAAGTTTTTACCACAGTTCTGTATGACAGAAGTGATCTAATGATTTAACCTCTAGTTGAATAGGGATGGCCGTATGTGCATCAAAAATCATTTGGTCCCCTGTTGAACCGAATCGAATTTGTGATCATCTATGGCCAAGCTTAAATTTACAAAAATGTTTACTATGTTTCCTCAGTTTGTGGCTCCTGCTCATAATATATATATACTAATCAGCTTGAGAAACATTGCCCTAGAGTGTAACACTGCTATAAGACTGATTTGCAAGGTATATAATGTATTTTTCAAACTAAAAAAGTTATGTCAAAATGTATATTGTACCAAAGTTTTTTTGCATTTCAACATTCCTAAAGGACATCTAATCCCAAAAACAAAAATGTAATAAATTTCAGTTTACCGGTCCTTAGATGCAGTTGCAGCATTTTACTTTTTCCAGGCTTTTTTCACCCGGTGATCCTGCCAGTAACTTCCTGAGTGACAGCTCTCACTCACCATATGTAGCCCCCTCTAGTTTGGCTGCTAGGCTAAATTTAATATTTGTTTTTTTGCTGAAGTCAGTGGAGCAGTGAACTATTGTTTTTTTCTGGTCAAGGTTTCCTAGGTAGGTGTTTGATCTCTCTCAACTGCTTCTGGAAGAAGCTTCCAGAATATATGTCAGGTTGAGTCAAATGACCAGTATGAATGTTCTTCATGCTCCAGCCAATCCCTGGGAGCTGTTTGAGTGTTCTTTCCTCTCCAGGGAGCATTCCAATTCTCCTGAGGCTGCTTTGTGCTAGTGACACAAAAAATTGCTGTCTGGGCCTCAGCAGATGCTGGCTGAGGGCAGTGGTGCCTTAGGAAAGACAAAAAAACAGCGTTAACCTTCCCCCCCCCAGAGTGAGCCTGACACCGACCAACACCAATGCCCCCGAAGGAAAGAGCCTAACAATGACCATCCCCACCCACTGAAAGAACCTTCCACTGCTCCCCCCATACACCTGCCACTCCCCTTCCACCTGGCCAATGAGAGACACACTCACCTTCACAGCTCTGCACATCCCCGGGAAGGAGAGTTGCGCTCTGCATACACAGTCAAGCAATCCGCAGCCTCTCGCAGATCCCACCTGATCCCAATGCTGCGCGTATCCCTTATTCTCGGAGGCGGTGCTGCCCCCCCGAAAAATGCTGCCCTAGGCAAACTGCTTGTTTGCCTCATGGTGAATACACCCCTGGCTGAGGGCCTTGAGAAGATTGCTAAATGATTATTAGCTGAAGGGTACCATCCTGAAGTACTGGTCTGCAGATGGATCCAGACCAGTACTTCATTGAAGATCTACAGTGGGGATTGAAAGTTTGGGCACCCCAGCTAAAAATTTGTATTAATGTGCATAAAGAAGCCAAGGAAAGATGGAAAAATCTCAAAAGGCATCAAATTACAGATTAGACATTCTTATAATATGTCAACAAAAGTTAGATTTTATTTCCATCATTTACACTTTCAAAATAACAGAAAACAAAAAAAATGGGCACCCTGCAGAACATTTTAGCATGCACTGCCCCCTTTGCCAAGCTGAGACCTGCCAGTGTCATGGATTGTTCTCAATCATCGTCTGGGAAGACCAGGTGATGTCAATCTCAAAGGTTTTAAATGCCCAGACTCATCTGACCTTGCCCCAACAATCAGCACCATGGGTTCTTCTAAGCAGTTGTCTAGAAAACTGAAACTGAAAATAGTTGACGCTCACAAAGCTGAAGAAGGCTATAAGAAGATAGCAAAGCGTTTTCAGATGTCAATATCCTCTGTTTGGAATGTAATTAAGAAATGGCAGTCATCAGGAACAGTGGAAGTTAAAGCAAGATCTGGAAGACCAAGAAAAATATCAGACAGAACAGCTCGCAGGATTGTGAGAAAAACAATTCAAAACCCACGTTTGACTGCACAATCCCTCCAGAAAGATCTGGCAGACACTGAAAATCTATGGATAGACCTTAAAAGAGCAGTGCGTGACAGACAGCCCAGAAATCTCAAAGAACTGGAAGACTTTTGTAAGGAAGAATGGGCAAAGATACCTCAAACAAGAATTGAAAGACTCATGGCTGGCTACAAAAAGCGTTTACAAGCTGTGATACTTGCCAAAGAGGGCAGTACAAGATATTAACTCTGCAGGGTGCCCAAACTTTTGCAGACGCCATTTTTTTGTTTTCTGTTATTTTGAAAGTGTAAATGATGGAAATAAAATGTAACTTTTGTTGACATATTATAAGAATGTCTAATCTGTAATTTGATGCCTTTTGGAGATTTTTCCATCTTTCCTTGGCTTCTTTATGCACATTAATACAAATTTTTAGCTGGGGTGCCCAAACATTCGATCCCCACTGTACCTGTGGATGCTGGGTGGAAGACAGCTCTTGGGACATTGTAAGTAATGGCCTTGTT